AAAAAATGAAAATAGTAATCAAAATTCATAATTCTCAGAAAATTCTTAGTTTTATCAGAATAACTGCAAGCAAGAACTGGAATGTTTTTACATTCTTGAAAATGTAACATTTATAACCATAGTACATTTTATCATCAAAATTACTACAGTATTTAAGACGGTCATTTAAAGTAAATGTATTCAGTTATTTCTTCAGTCAGTACCGTATATATATTTTGGCGACACAGAAATGTTTTTTTGGTAAGATATTTTATTCAGTTAAATTTTAGCTGTTCATCAAATTGTATTATTCCAGGGAGACAGATAAAAAAAAAAAAGTTTTGGCTGATTTATATGATTTATAGACCTTTTACTACAAAAACACTTTATTGAATATCAGTGTTAATGCAAACTATATAGAGCTGTATTATTTATGTGTCTGTTTATTGATGATGACAATTTGTTTCTCGTTCAAACTTTTAATTGCAAGCAAATCTAGTACTGTATTAAGCAGTCAAATTATGGGGGTTTTTTCAGGATTTCAATGCGAACATTATATGTTTTAAGTACAGCAAAATCCTATATAATACCAAAGACTATAGGACAAATAAAAGCAATGCAGTTTGCCATATTGAGGCAGTAGCCGTATCTAGGAATTCGAAATAGAGGGGGACAAGGTATGAACTTTGACAGGCGGAAGATCTGGACCACCTCAGCTGCTTCACCCTGCCACCTCAGCCCCCACCATCATTGTAATTAATTAATTTTGGCACCTCTAGAAGATCCAGAAATGGCACTCTCAGACTTAAATTTAATTATAATTTTTATTTTTTTCCTTTTTTTTTTAAATTTTGAATATATTATTGTGCAGTAATATAATGGTCTCCTTCCCACCCCTTTTGGAAGGTCAAAAAAGAAAGAAAAAGAAAAAATTGATAGCCCAGAACGCCTCAGAGGCTATTTTCGGGCATCTAGAAAACAAACATTTCAGGGAGATGTCCCCTGAACCCAAGGGTAGTGTTGTTTTGATCAGCCTCACTTTCAGACCCCCCGTTTTGGACATCTCTTGATCCGCACCTGGTCTTATAATATACCCGTTCTACAGGTCGAGTGCTCTATATATACTTTGATGTATTTTTATTCATAAATTGTACAGTTAGTATTTTACTGAATTTATTTTTCTTGTAGTTTATGTCTAGCTGGTATGAATAGTGTGTTTTTTTTTTCATTTAATTTTTAATTGAATAAAAGAAAACTAATAATCTATTGTGACATACAAATAAAGCCGTAGAAATGTAAACAGCTGGATCCAACAACACAGCATTACGTTTAATTATTGCGCAATGCCACACAACACAATGGCTTTAACATCAATATTATCCTCCGTATCAATTACCCAATAACGAGGCTCAGACGAGAATATGGAACTTAACAAAAGATTATATTGAACTTGGATCCTTCTGTACGTAATTGAATCATAAAATTGTATCAAGCACTTGATGTCATTGAACTTTGCAATTTTGTTATAGTTCTATTGTACAAATAACAATACTTTATTATAATTAAATTATATGTGTAGTATTATTTTAACAATGTTATTCTATCTGTCGTACACTTTGATGCTGTTGAATACAGATAAAAAATACGTCTTCTATTTCATCCTCCCAGAAATTACCATGTTTTTGACGTCAACACGAGTCACAGGTGTTGCAAAGCAATTAAATTAACCAAAAGGAAAAAAATAAATTCAATTTGTTTTATTTCAAATCTATTGCAGAAAAAAATTTATAGTATAAATGTTTAATTGATGTGTTTTCTTTGTAAATAGTTTTCAGTACATATGGCTATTGAATATTCATGTAACTTCTACTGTAATACTACTATTATATATTTATTTGATCTCATCTTGAATATTCATATGACCTGTCACTATTGAATATTCATATGATCTGTTACTATTAAATATTCATTTGAATATTCATATGACCTATCACTATTAAATATTCATGACTACTATTATATATTTGTAAGACAGTGGTGTCATCTTCATGACTACTATTATATATTTGTAAGCCAGTGGTGTCATCATCATTTTCATTTGCACTGAATTTTCCTATCTCTAACTGATTCAATATAGTGCCCTACAATTTTTTGTATCTCGTGTGCAAAAAGCTCCAAAGCGAGGTGATTTTACTAACAGTAATTGCGATAGAATATTTCATTGCTAGGCCAAGTTATGAACACACACAGCGACCTAGCGAATCTCGCTCTACGGTGCTGGTTAACATGAAGAGTTGTGTGAAGATTGCCAGTGCGCATACTACTAACAGATCATTCTAATACGCGCAGCTAATGCACACGTACAGTGATCACTTAGCAACTGACCACAACCAGCAGTTTGATTTATGATTACCTTAATTATAAGAAGACATTAGGTACCATTATTTCCTTCATCTTGATCACACATTGAAAATATTGAATATTTATGTGACTTGTCACTATTGAATATTCATATGACCTGTCATTATTAAATATTCATATGACCTGTCACTATTGAATATTCATATGACCTGTCACTATTGAATATTCATGATTTATCACTATTGAATATGCATTTGATCTATCAATTATTAAACCGTCATTAGACATGTCACTCTTAATTATTTATATGACTTGTCAAATAAAGTATTCAATTTTAGTAATACAACATTTGCATTTACTCTGTATAATAGCATTTAGTTTTAATGCTTAAATCAAAACATAAGAAAGATATAATAAACTACGGTATTAACATATGCAAATGAGCTTATCCATTTCTACCATAAAGTCTGACACAGACTGGGAATGGTGACGTTAATGGCATGTCCATATATGTTAGTGATCGTTGTCCACTAGGAGGCTCAGTGAAAACATATAATATGATGGTGCTTTAAATGGCACATAATGCATAAAGTCTCTACACACCATTTTAGTGAAAATAAGTCCAAAAAAGGAATAAAATACTAAAAATGTTTAAAGATAATGAAAATTTAATGTTTATTATGACCTGAATATTGTATGTTTATTACATTAACATTTATTATTCATAAGTTCTCAATATTTAAATATACCTTCTATTTGTTGTTTCTAAGATTAATATTCACATTTTTAATTTGTTTAATATGCACATTAAGATTCTAAATTACAACTTTAACATAAATATTATTCATACAATATTCCATATTGTCCATAAATTTGTTTAACATATAGACTTCAATCATCTAAGCAAGGCAGTGCTGATAGCGACGATATATTTTAACCAGTTGGACATACACGACCGTTTCACACTTACTCTAAATAATTTATATTGTAAAATCTTTGAACTTAGGAGCTTAGAAATATAACGAATGAAACCATTGCGTTTGCTATATATAGCAACGTTAAATCTCTGTTGGGGATTGTTACAACACATATCGCGTGGTTGATGTTCAGACTGAAATGTACATCCAAGACTGATAATTGTAAACCCAAATTTTGCTATCTTTCTTTTTAATAAACTACATGTCTATAATTTTGCATTGATCATCTATCATTTTCTATGAAGTAAATCAACAATTATTATACCTGTCTCTTATACACATCTAGATGTGTATAAGAGACAGCTTATATATAAGTATATATACACACACATAAACATATATATACATACATATGTATATATATACGTATATGTATATATATCA